CTCACAGTGACCCTGTAGTACAGAGTAGAACTGCTCTATAGGATTTCCAAACCAAAAACCAAACTCACCACCAGTCTAATTCAATGAACCCCACTGGGTTTTCAAGGTTGTAAATCTTTACAGAAGCAGACTGCCCAATCTTTCCTCTGGTGAGCAGCTGGTAGATTCAAATCGCTGACCTTTTGGTTAGTAGCCTTAATCACTATACCACTAGAGCTCCTTGCCCTATAGAGTTTACAAGGCTATAAATCTTTATGGAAGCAGACTACCTTGTCTTTCTCCTATGGATTGGTTGGTGGTTCCAATTACCAACCTTTCAGTTAGCAATTGAGTGTCTTAGCCCCTTGCACTACCATAGCTCCTTGTTTGAGGGAATAGCCGATAGAATTTGTTGATGAACTGAGTATAGGCAAGAGAGAAAAAGGCAATCAAGAATGATTTTTGGTCTCAGTGACTAGAAGTTTCCATTTACTGAGATAGAAAAGACTTATTAGAGGAGCAAGTTTGCTGAATGAAGGGGTGGTAATAAATGAAATCAAGAGTTGGGTTTTGGACATGTTAGAAATACCTCTGACATTTATGGAGATGTTAAGTAAGCAATTGAATAAACAAGTTTGGAGTTCAAGAGAAAAGTCCAGGTTGGAAAAATAAATTTGGAAGCATCACTGTGTAAATGGTATTTAGCCGTGAGACTGAATGAGATCGCTTGGGAAATGACTGCAGGTAGGCAAGAGAAGAGGTCTGTATACTCACTCTGGAGCACTTCGATGTGTAGAGGTCAGAAAGATTAGAAACATTCAGCAAAGGAGATTGAAAAAGAATGGCTAAAAATGCAGGAGGGCCAAGGGGGGAGGAGTATTGAAAAGCTAAATGGAGAAAGCATTTTGGAGAGAAGTCAGTGATTAAATGAACTGTCAGGTCTAATAGACAAAAACAAAATTGACCAATGTATTTGGCAAAGTCAGTGGTGAGCTTGGTGGATATGAAAACCCTATTGAAATAAGTTCAAGAAAATGGGGGATAATGAACTGGGAATGGTGAGTGAGACAACTTTTTGAGGATTTTTGCTGTCAAGGGTAGCTAAGAAATAGGATGTTGGGAAGAGGTTTTCTTGGATGATATTTCCTTCATGTTTATAGGTTTATGGAAGTGATGTGTTTAAAAAGATGGAAAACAGATGCCGAAAGTTGAAAGAAAACAAAAAATTGAGAAAATGCTGTATAATCTGTTTTAGGTAAAGATTCTGAGGATGAATCTGATTTTGGTGAGAGTGAAGATAATGATGAAGAGTTCACTGTGAGAAAAAGTAAAGTTAAAGAAATTAAAAGGAAAGAAGTGAAGGTAAAACCCCCAGTAGAAAAGAAAGAGAAGAAGCCTAAATCCATATGTAATTCTTTGGGTAAGCTTGGTCCAAAACATTTAATTTTATGAAAGAAATGTATGTGGTTTGTTTGCTGTATTTTTCTTATTTTTGTCTTTGTTTTCCTTAATGTTTTGCCAATGTTTATTTCTCATTAAAATACATAGTATAAAGCAGAGTGAGGTGGCTGAGAGAGTAAAGCAAAAAGCATACTACTGTATTTTTTCCCACAAATAAAGTGCACATTGTATGTTTCTTATTAACTGTGTAACTCCTCCCATGTTCTTTTTGTAAATGTGCTATGCCATTTTTTTTAACATTACTGACTTCAGTTGACACTAAAATGACATAATTAAACTATGTCATGAGACATGCATGGTGTATGTCCAAGTGTGCTATGCAGAACTGTTCTACATCATTTCATCATTTCTGCATATTGCATGTGTGGGTAGATTATTTACATGGATACATTATTTGGGAAAAATTCAGTAGGCCGTACTATGTATGGTAGCATTTAATGTGTATCATCCCTCTCTAGCTCTTGTTCTTGCTACCTCTTCTGAGGCAGCTATTATCACTTGTGTACTACTGATGAAAAAATGAGGCTCAGAAAGGTTACATAATTTGTTGGAATTCTTAAAACTACTAAGTGGAACCTTAGAATTTGAGCCCAGGTTTGTTCACTCAAAGCCTAAACCCTATCCACAGGACCATATTTTCTCTGGGAATTAAACAGAGGAGTTTTCCTGATTCTTTTTACTTGCTTTCATGCTTGACCTAGTCTTTGAGACCTCTTTTGCCAGTATTTAGGGCACTTTATTTTTTCAAACTAAATTCAGTAAGAAATCATTTTCACGTTAAAGCTTTTGGAATTTGTTACGCCTTAAACATAAAAAAGCAGATATGATATTTTTGAGTTTATGTATATTATATATAAATGGGTTATTATAAAATACAGCTTCTACTAAATGGATTTGTTTTACTTATTGATATTCATTTTTATGTCTTAATTTTTAAAATATATATGCTATTTGAATCTAAAAGTTCTATTATTCAGACTTCCCATTTATTAATGGTAAGAGTTAGTCTTGCCTTTAATAGCATGGTGCTGGGTACTTAGAATTAAATAAGAATTGAATACTGAGAAGTCTCTTTCTCTCCACTCACTGTATTCTGAATCAATGAAGTTTTAAATTACGGTCTTATTTTAATTGACAAATTCATCTGTTTTCCAGAAATTAGATTTTAGATGTGAGGGCCTTTAAAGATAAAGCTGTATATTAGTTTCCTATAGCTGCTGTAACAAATTATCACCATCTTAGTGGTTTAAAACAACACAATTTATTATTTCAGTTTGGGAGATCAGAAGTCCAAACTGGTTCTCTCTGGGCTACAATCAAAGTTTTCTGCAGGGCTGTGTTCCCAGTACAGGAGAATCCATTTTCTTGCCTTTTCTGGCTTCTGGAGGCCATCTGCTTCCTTGACTCATGGCCCCTTCCATCTTCAAAGCCAGCAGTGGTCGACTCTTTCTCAAATTGTATCACTCTGACTTGCATCCTCTGGTTCTTTCCCTTATTAGGATCCTTGTGATTACATTAGATCCATCAAGATGATCAAGGACAATCTTCCCATCTTAGAATTCTTAACTACATCCACAAAGTCCTTTTGCTATGTAAGGTAACATTCATAGGTTCCAAGGATTAGGACATGGGTGTCTCTGGGGAGCCATTATTCTGCCTACCACAAACTGTGAAATGAAAAAGTCACTAACAGTATGAATATGCTTGGTCACCAAGACACACTGAAAAATGAAAAGAAATTTCAGTTTCTAAGATGGAATTTACCAGTTAAAGTCTTTTCTATATATCTTGGAGCAAGTTGCTTCACAAGGGAGATAAATATGTACATAATATCAGAAGTAAAACATTAACTGTTAAGTGATAGGATAAGGAATTAGGAAAAATGGATTATATTTCTGTCCCATTAATAAGTTATTGGGTAACCTTTGAGAGTCTCTCAGCTGGCACACATTATAATTTTTCCATTGATAGAGAAAAGATCAAGAGAGGTTCTGTCAGTGTGTTAGCCAATAGCCTATATTGTGGCTATGCTGTTGTTGTTGTTGTTATGTGCTGTCGAATCATTTCTGACTCATAGCAACCCCATGCACAGCAGAACGAAACACCACCCGATCCCACGCCAGCTCCATGATCCTTGCTATACTTGAGCCCATTGTTGCAGTCACCGTGTCAATCCATCTCGTTGAAGGCCTTCCCATCTTTCATCGACCGTCCACCTTACCAAGCATGACATCCTTCTCCAGGGAATGGTCCCTTCTGACAACATGACCAAAATAGGTGAGACGAAGTCTGGCCGTTCTTGCTTCCAAGGAGCATTCTGGCTACACTTCCTCCAGGACAGATCTGTTAGTTCTTTTAGCAGTCCATGATACTTTCAGCATTCTTCGCCAGCACCACAACTCAAAAGCATCAACTCTTCTTTGGTCTTCCTTATTCATTGTCCAGCTCTCACATGCATATGAGGCGATTGGAAATATCATGGCTTGTGTCAGGTGGACCTCAATCCTCAAGGAGACATCCTTGCTACTCAGCACTTGAAAGAGTTCCTTCGAGCCAATTTGCCTAGTGCTACACATCATCTAATGTCCTGACTGCTGCTTCCAATTGGTGTCAATTGTACAACCAAGCAATGTGAATTCTTTGACAACCTCAGTCTTCTCTCCATTTATTGTGATGCTGCTCATTAGTCGAGTTGTGAAGATTTTTGTTTTTTTATATTGAGATGTAATCCATACTGCAGACTGTATTCTTCAGTCTTCATCAGTATGTGCCTCAAGTCATCCTCACTTTCAGCAAGTGAAGTTGTATCATCAGCTTATCTCAGGTTGTTAATGATTCTTCCTCCAATCCTGATGCCACGTTTTTCTTCATATAGTCCAGCTTCCTGGATTATTTGCTCAGCATATAGCTTGAATAAGTGTGGAGAAAGATTACAACCCTGATGCACTCCCTTCTTGCTTTTAAACCATGTAGTGTCCCCTTGTTCCATTTGAATGACAGCCTCCTGGTCAA